GGTGGCTGCACAGGGAGATCTCAGGTTACAATAACTGTCCTCTTACATTTCTTCCTGCACACCAGCTCGTGGGCCCTCTGTGGCTAGCCCTTCCTGCAAGGTCTGAATAAGTAAAAACTCCAGTTTTTAGACAACAAGGGACCAACAACAGCATAGGACCAATGAATGCCTGAACACCTGAAGTATTAAAATTCCACCTGCTATAATACCTTTTCCTTGCCTCATCCCATGTTCCATTCAGAGCCCAGAGACCCTGGGACCTCTCCCTGTAGTCCTCTCTTCTGGTCTTTTCACAGAGCCAGAGGCCACTCCCCACAGTCCTTTACCTAGGGATCTGGGGTCACTCACCACAGTCTTTAACCCTTTTAAAGAAACAGAGACCATACACTAACTTCTAGAGGAATGGAAACCCCAAACCAGGCCTGCCTTCGTGATAGCATACATAGTCCTTAGCCTAGGTGACCCTACACATTGAGGCAGTGAGTGTAGAAGTGCCTTGTCTTGAGATCAAGGGCTTTCAGAATGGCCCCTCTGGCCGCAGCCCTCGCCATCCTGTGCTGAGCCCATCAAGGGGAGAGTTGGGAACTACCCTGGGCAGTGAGCTGGCTACCTGTTTTGCTCAATTATGGTCTGAGAGCTTAAGAGGACCAGAAGCACTCTGCTATGGCTTAGCCCTCTGTATGGGCCTGTGAGGGGGAAACTCCCTTGCGACCACTTGGACCTTTAGGTGGACTGACCCTCTGTTGACCACCCACGTCTCATGTACTCAGCTGTTCCGTCTGGGGTGCCAGATTGTAAGTGGGAAACTGGTTCTTTATCACCTGTTGCTGATGGAGCCAATACTCAGAGACAGGACTCAAAAGCAAAGAGCAAAGTGTTTGCTGAAAATCAATACGTAGGAGAACAGGAGAGCAGACATCTCCCAGATCTGTGCCCCCTAGGGAAAAGGAGAGGGAGTACATTTAGGGATCTTGGGCATGCTCTAGGTGACTGAGGAATTTCAGAAACTCTCTGGGACTTTGCTTATCTCAAGTCACACTGGCCATACTGGACAAGCTGTCTCTGACAGACACCGTTTTCTGCCAACAGAGGTTACCAATGGCTTTCACAAGAAATACGTAGCTGTTCCTCTCCCTTCCTGTGGTAGTTCTTGAAGTGATGTTGTTGTTGTTGAGTACTGTCAAGTTGGTTCCAGCTCATAGTGACCCTGAATAGGGGTTCCAGAGAGTGGCTGGTGAGTTTGAACTGCCAACCTCATAGTTGGTAGTCCAGTGCTTATCCTACAGCACCACACCGGGACCTTGGAGTGGGGGTTGGCTTTCAATTAAAAAGAGAAATGATTATTGACAAGCAAAAGAGATTAATTATGGGGTAATAATTGACTATGACAGTTAAAATGTAGCTTTATCCCTCTGTAGTGACTGTCAGGATCTCGATTTTACTTTGGCTAAGAGAACTTCCAGAGGTTCCAGCCGGATTCAGAAGAGGCCGTGGAACGAGGGATATCATTGCTGATGTCCGATGGATCTTGGCTGTAGGCAGAGAATATCAGGAAGATGTTTACCTGTGCTTTATTGACTACGCAAAGGCTTTCGATTGTGTGAATCGTGACAAGCTATGGACAACATTGTGAAGTGTAAGTATTCCGGAACACTTCATTGTGCTCATGAAGAATCTGTACCTGGACCAAGAAGCAGTTGTTCGAACAGAACATGGGAACACTGAATGGTTTAAAATTAAGAAAGGTGTACGACACGGTTGTATTCTTTCACCATATTTATTCCACCTGTATGCTGAGCAAATAGTCCAAGAAGCTGGGTTCTATGAAGAAAAACGTGGCATCAGGATTGGAGGAAGACTCATTAACAACTTGTGATATGCAGATGATACAACCTTGCTTGCTGAAAAGGAAGAGGACTTAAAACATTTACTGATGAAGTTCAAAGAGCACAGCCTTCAGTATGGATTACATCTCAATGTCAAGAAAACAAAAATCCTCACCACTGGACCAATAAACAACATTCTTATCAATGGAGAAAAGCTTGAAGTTGTCAAGGACTTCATTCTTCTTGGATCAACTATCAACACTCACGGAAGCAGCAGTCAAGAGATCAAACAACGTATTGCATTAAGCAAATCTGCTGCACAAGACCTTTTTAAAGTGTTGAAGAGCAAAGATGTCAGCTTGAGGCCTAAGGTGCGCCTGACCCAAGCCATGGTATTTTCAATAACCTCATATGCATGTGAAAGCTGGACAGTGAATAAGGAAGATCGTAGAAGAATTGATGCTTTTGAGTGATGGTGTTGGAGGAGAATATTGAAAGTGCCACGGGCTGCCAAAAGAATCAATAGACCGTTTTGGAAGAAGTGCAGCCAGAGTGCTCCTTGGAGGCCAAGATGGCCAAACTTTGTCTCTCATACTTAAGACATATTGTCAGGAAGGACCAGCCGCTAGAGAAGAATATCATGTTTGGTAAGGTAGAGGTTCAGAGAAAAAGAGGAAGACCTCCAACGAGATGGATTGACCAAATGGCAGCATCGATGGACTTAAGCGTGGCAACAGCAGTGAGGTTGGCTTAGGATTGGGCAGTGTTTCATTCTGCTGTGCATAAGGTCGCTATGAGTCGGTACCGACTCGATGGCTCCTAACAGCAACAACAACAAGCTTAAATGTTCCCGGTGTCCTCAGTTTCTCACAGCTCCATTTCAGCCTCAGAGCCCTGGGCACTGAGGTTTGCATGGTCCACCACCCACTGAACTAATTGTTCCCATGTATCTTCGGGTTTCTTCATTCTTCTTTGCTCTGGACAGCGAGCAACTAATAATTGCACCTTAGCCGTCCTGATCATGAGCTTTCAAGACCTCAGTGGCAACCACCAAAGTAGGATCTAGAACGTTGTCTGTGCGGACTTTGCTATTCCAGTTGCGCTTGGTGTCCCGAGACCATAGTCTTCAACGTGTTTGATTATGGCTGAGAAGTTTTTGTAACTTTGCCCCTGTATGTTTCACCACATTCATGGATGTATTTGCAGCAAAGGTAAATACAGCTGTAGCGCTATCCTCTGTAAAACCTCTATATACGCCCACTCTCTGTCTCAACGAGTCTATCCATGAATCTAGTCTATCCATGATCACTGTTATTGCAGGCTTGTGCATACAGCAATATTTATCTTTCTCTCGCTTTTTTCACGGGCCCACAAGTCGGTTTCGACTCCTAATGACCCCGTACAGGGTTTTGATGGCTATACATTTTTATGGGAGCAGAAAGCCTCACAGTGGTTGGTGGGCTTGAGTTGCCGAACTACTGACCTTGTGGTTTTTAGTCCGGTGCTTATCCTACTGAGCCACCGCACTTGATTTTAAAGACATTTCATTGAATGTTAGGTGAAAGTTTTTGCGCAGAAAATTCCATTTGAGTTTTTATGCGGCTTGTTCCTTGACATTGGTTACAGTTTCCAAAACGTGTCAGCATTCTCATATTTCTAATTTTTTTGTGGGTTGTGATTTTTTGTCCTGTTTCCTTTTCATATTCACTTTAGGGCACATGCTGACTGGGGCCTCATGGTTGGTAATTTAATGGAGTTGAGTACTCGTGATTGCGGTTGTTAGTTTTCATCCAGTCTACTGCATGGATGAAAGGGTACCTCAAGGAGTAGCTTATTAAATTCAAACAGCATCTTAGGACAATCTCCTCGGGGATTCCTGTAGTCTTACTGGGTCTTAAGTCTGATCCTTTTGTAGTAATTTGAGTTTTGGTGTACATTTCTCTCCTTTTAATCTAGGACCTTCTCTCGTGGCTCTGATCAGAACAGTTGGTAGGGATAACCAGGCACCGTGTGGTTCTTGTGTTAGCAGGCTAATTGAGGCCTTGGTTCCCATGAGCTATTAGTCCTGCGGGCTAGTTTTTTGTTTGAGCCTTTGCTTTCTTTCCTTGTCTTTTGTTCTAGATGAGTAGAAGACATTAGTTTTATTTTAGACGGCCACTTAAAAGCATTTAAGGCCCCAGACCCTATGTTCTAGAATAGTCCTGCTTCTAGCCTGTGCCAGACACTTACTTAGTGGTTTTATGATTCTCGTTTCTTTCCCCTTTCAGCCTCATTTCCTCAGCTGTGGAATAGGAGTGATGGTGGGGTTGTCTCATAGATGGGGGTGAGGGCTAAGTGGGGTGTTTCCTGTAAAGGCCCGTAGTCCCACCGCAGGCACACAATGCAGGGCAGATGGAAACAGTATCTAAACCTTGCCCCCCTGCCCCTGGTTTGGCCTCCCCCACAGGTTCCAAGTTAAGCACACATAAAGGAATGGAAACAAAAGTCCCTAAAGCCCCTGACCCTGGGAGAGTTCAGGCTGCTGGGATTCTTGGGAGTTTCCCCTAGTGTCCCTCGTGGCAGGGCGCTCGGAATGGTCGGGTGATATGGGGGAGTTGGGGGATCAGAGCTTCTCAGACTCCACTGTGGGTGCAGATGCCCTAGGAATCCCGTTCCAACACGTTCTAACCAGGTCCATGTGGTGTCCAGCCCAGGGTGCCAGTGCCCCCAGGTCTAGGGACCCCACCAGGCATGGCTGTTCCTAGCATTGGCGGGCTTGAGAAAGCCCAGATGGCTGGGCCCTGAGTTCCTGAGTCTGTGACTCTGGGTGGGGCCCGAGAATCTGCATTTCGAACACATTCGAAATGTAAATCACGACACTCGTGTAGCTGTTGCTGCTGCTGGTCCGTCGACCATACACTGAGAACCAAAGCAGAATCTTGCTCACCACATCTGAAGCGGACCCTCCAGGCCCAGGGGAACACTCCTGTGTGGGGTGGGCAGAGTCGTCCCCCCACCCCACCACACACACACACACACACCTGGCTGAGATGCCCTGAGCTTCCTCAGAATGCCCTGCTTTGTTTGGAATGGGCCCCACTGGTCCATCAGGCACCCTTGTGACCCTGATACCCAGGATTGGGGTCTAGAAGAGTCGGCGGCTACACTCCTAACCCGTGCCATCTTGCTTTGCAGCGCCAGCAGACCCCACGAATGTCCCAGCTGTGGAGCATGCCAGCACACCAGGCCGGAGCCTTTGCTCCCCAGAAGACCCGGGCACCCCACACTCCCAGCCACCGTCTCCGCTGCCCCGTCATCGCTCGAGCTGCATGTCCCCAGAAGACCCTCGTGTTGCGGGGGCACATGCGTGGGCGGGTCCTGGGCGAATGTCCCGCTCTGCCAGCGACCCCACCTCATGCGCATCTAGCTCTGCAGGTAAAGCCGCCTTGGCCCACCTGTGTCCCTGTGGGCTCACCTGAACTCACCCTGGCGCTGCAGGCCTGACGCAGTGTCTTCACAAAGCCCAGGCCGGCCTTGGGACCCCGGCCCTGGGACTCCTGCTCAGGGGCTAGATTGGGACTGTCATCTTGATGTCAGATTCCAATTTCACATCACAGAATGCTGGGCCGAGTCTGGAGATGGTGATGTCCTCCAGTGGGGGACGAGGGCCTTGAGGGTTTAAGAAGACTGAGCTCACAGAGTCTGCAGGCCCAGGCAGGTTCCATGAATCTCACCGGCCTATTACTGCAGGCTCTCCCCATCATTTAGCCTTTCCTGCACCCAGGACTCACCTTAACCGATATACTTAATGCAAATACCGGTACCAGGCCAGCTGTGCAGCCCTGTCAGGCATGGTCATGGCTCAGTACCAGTGTTAGGTGGGTAGGTAGGAGGGTTAATACAGGTATGGTTTAAACTCCAGGTCCTGGCACCCTGGGCAGAGCTTCCTGTGTAGCCTGGGGCTTGAATGGGACTCACCCACCCTGCCTGTTAGAGTGGACAGTTCACTGCACCCTGTTAGGGCCAACGCGTTGTCCTCCACGCTCCCATTCATGCATGTAGTGTGAAGGACTCAGGCATTTGTGGGCGCTCATGGTCCACGCGTGAAATTCATGCTCAGAACCATGACGTTTTTGGGATGAGAATGAAGACAGCTGTGGTTCGATGCCACTGTGAAATTGGCCCCAAGCCCGTTCCTGCATCTAGCCCCAGTTCCCTGACGCTGTCTCCTCTGCACCTAGTAGACTGCAGTCTGTTACTGGCATGTCGGACAGTGAGCAGAGCTACACGAGTGTCGTGATTTACATTTGTGTGGGTGCATGTCAACTCTGTAGCTATCTCTTGCGTTGTCAGCGATGGGAGAGCTAGTGCGATTTCGTCAGTAATCCTGTCCCCCTTGATAATGTGCTCATGGAATTATCTTTCTGACGAAGGTGACGCCGCTTCCCATAGTCCCTTGTGCATTCGCGATATGGAAGCAGGAATGTCCCAGACAGTGCGAGGGACTGGTAAGACAACTTATTTTCTAAAAACTTTGCACAGCTGACACCTGCTGTACAAATACCTGTGCGGTGACTCATGGGTCGTTTACTGTGTTGTTTTCAAATCCAGTTTCCCCTGTGTCCCCAGGAATGGGAGGAATCCAACTCCTTGGGCTGGAAGAAGAGCATTTCCCTTCTCTCTGGGTGGAAACCTACTAGGGGCTGTACCCACTTTAATGCACATGTGGTTGCTAATATAACTTTATTGATTAGCGTCTGTTTTGAAGTAGATTGTTGCTGTTGTTGTGTGCCATGGAGTCGGTTCTGACTCATAGCGACCCTGTACAGGGTTTCCGAGGCTGGAAATCTTGACGGGAGCAGAAAGCCTCATCTTTCTCCCGCGAAACAGCTGGTAGTTTCGAACTGCTGACCTTGAGGTTAGCAGCCCGATTCGTAACCACTATACTACCAGAGCTCCTTCCCCACTCTATTCCAAAATCTATCCCAGTGGAGAAGCAAAGGGTTTTTAAAAAAACAAACGATTACTCATGTGGAATTGCTGAAGTTTGCGCAATGCCACCCAAAGTGCCCCAGGCTACCCAGAGTGTGTTCACTTGGTACAACTTGAAACTCAGTGTGGACAAGTCTTTCCCTGTCTGATTCCTGGCGAGTTACTTACAACTGCCTGCCCTGAGCTGGCTTCTTACTGAGGTGCCAGCAAGCCAGTGGTTTACAGTGTAATGGTCAACGGTGGTGGTCAGGACGAGGGGCTGGTGTCCCTGACCTGGTCTCTGAACTTTGAACTCTGGTGGCTGTCACATAGGTGGGAGGCCCTTCTGCTGTGTGGTTACACAGCAAAACGTCATTGGACTAATGATAGCTGAGAAAGGTCCCTCTCAAGTGGTCAGCTGCACAAGGGTATGTGGGAAGAGGCCTTTTTTGCCAGGGGATTCCAGTGGAGAAGTAAACGGGAGAGATGCCCTGTCCTGGCCTTCACCGACTGGCCTTGCATTTTGCCCTTTGGGAGACTGGTCCAATGATGCAGGGCTGAGGGGGGCCAGGCTGCCCAGGGAAGGAGGGGGCCAAGAAGCAGTCTCAGAGCAGAAAGCTAGTCCTAAGCACAGTTCCACGTGCCTTTTAGAGAATATCTGCTCGTTTTCAACGGTATCTTTCCCTTTCTTACTAGTTCCCACGTCTTACTCTGCTGAGGCTTGTCAGCAACGACTTTGCCCACCTGGTGAACAGAGTGCTGCCTGGAAAACCGAGCAGCAGTTCAAGCCAGAGTCCTTGCATCCTCTGTCCAAGCAGCGCCCTCACTCTTTGGTGGACAGCCACGCCTACACGGACACCCGCGTGTTGGTAGCTAAGTTCCTGGAGCACGCGCACGGTGCCCTCCCTGCTGAGGTGCGCCACGTAGTGCGCGCCATCCGCTCGGTGGTTGCCTCTGATGAACACCGCGCTGATGACACCATCCGTAGTGCCAGCATTCTAGACCAGGTGTGAGGGAACGCAGGTCTGCTCACCGACACGGGCAGCCTGGCGCCACAGACGTTCTTGCCACCATCAGTGATCTTGGCAGAGGACACGAGATCGGTGCGCATCACTGAGCGTCTGAGGCGGACTGATCCCTTTTCTCTCTGTGATCCCGTTTCCTACCTAACCCAGAACACAGGAAAATGTTCTCACTGCACAGTGATGCTGCAGTTTGATCGGTATGTGCCACCTTGAACTCCCACGACAACTATGATTACAGTGTCAGGTGACATTCCTGTCACTTAAAGACATTACCAAAAGCAGCTGCCCTCACGTGATTGTCTCACGGCATCCCCCGTGTGTGCAGAACAGGACTGTGTTCCACCGGATTCCAGACTCTCCACGTCCAGAAGCAGACTGTTCGAGGTTCCTCTGGGTGGGTTTGAAATCTCCAAGCTTTCAGTTAGTGGTTGACTGTTTGAAGTATTTTTGCATCCTCCCCACTCCCAGAGTCATCAAAAGTGGGACTTACCCCCACCAGTTTAGTTTCTCGCTAAGTGGGTGGGTCTGCCGTAGAAGGAGACCGTTTCCATATATAGCTTGTCACTTTATAATTAAATCTTCATTATAAGTCTAACTGTAAAGGAACTAGGTCATCCTACCACAGAACCCAACTTGGTACCCTCAGGGCTTCGGGGCTGATGTGCAAACAAGCCATCGTACAATCTTGGACTCCTGGAGGCCTGGCCCCACCCAGGAAGTAGAGACCAGGTGACTGACGGAGAGCCTGTCACCTGGTCTCCCAGACCTGCCTTTCTCAGCTGTCTGTGGAGCCCCTCACCCCCACTTTCTCTCTGAGTTCTCTGTTGCCTCCCCTGTATTAAGTGCCATCGACTTGGTTCCGACTCATGGTGACCCTGGATAGGGTTTCCAAGGAGCAGCTGGTGAGTTTGAACCGCTGACCTTGGGGTTCAAACTGACTTGGCAGTCCAGCGCATGAACCCCCGCGCCACAGCAGGCCTCCCTTTCGTTGACAATTTCTCTGTAGTGGTTCTACTGTCCCTAGGGTCACTATGAGTTGGTATTGACTCAGTAGCGGTGGATTTGGGTAGGAGGGAACAGAAATTTATCATTACTTTTTGTTCCATATTCATAAGCACCTAGTCCCCCACTCATCTGGGAGTTTCCAGTGTATCTGGCCCATGACCCCGAATGGTCTCGTGTGACTTGAGGTCTGAGGGCATGAGGCCATCTCTCTGGGACATCTGACTTTCTACTAAGTGCAGTCTCAGATGACCCAGTGCGGCTTCTCTGCAGCCAGGCTCAGCTGCACTGCAGAATGGAGCTAGTCATTTGTTTTCGTAAACACACCCAGTGTGTTGGCAATGCAGAAGCACCAGCCCACCCCTTTTCTGAGATCACCACTTGGCCCCCTGACCCCTCATAGGCAGCTGGTTCCCGGCAGCATCAGGTCAGGAATGCACGGGACTAACTGGCCAACCAGGAGCCAGCAGCTCGCAGCATCCTGGGCCTCTTGAGCAGCACTCCTCTGAGAGCTCAAGGTCCAACCAACACCCCCAGTGCTCCGCTGCCGCACCTGTTCTGCCTCCTCCTGTCAGGACCCCTATCCTCCGCCTCCTACCCCGCTAGCTAACATGCTGCTCTGGGGGGGAGTGGGTAGGATACCTTCCAGCCCGGCTGCCTGACCCGTCTCCAGCCCGGTAGTGGTAGGAACTGGGGTGTGGCGGTTTGACCAACTTCACAACGGCATAGCTTTATGAACACTACTTGGTCAGCGCCTCCCAGAGGTTGCACCACCAGCATAAAACCAGAAATCAGGCCTTTACACCCCAAACCCTAACTTTACCGTGAGAGTCATCCAGGAGGTGAACAAGATAAAGTTTTTCAGACTACCTACTACGAGGCAAACATATTCTCCAATTGTTCTCCAGTGAGGATTTCTTAAGTCACGAAAATCCCAGTCCCTTTTGCAGGTAAAATCAGAGGCTTGGAACCTGAGCATTTTCTGAGTCTCTGGGCAGGGAGCCAAGTTCCTCCTGCTTTAGGCCGCGAAGTGGGTTTGAGGTGACCACATTCAGGCAGCAGGCGGCACACAGCCATGACCCTGAGAAGGAACCATAGTTCTCAGAGCTGGCTGTACTTTGTTTTCATCCCCGTGGGGGGTGGAGGACTACTCAGGGTCAGGCTTGTAGTCTTACAGGCTCCCCGCCTGGCCCTGTGCGCTCTCTGGCCGCCTCTGTAGTCTGCAAGTTGGGCGCATGCCCTCCCCAGGCTCTGATTACCCAGAGGCATGGTACTGACCACTCTGGACCCTCTGGTTCTGAGATGCTTTGCCTCCCACACCTGTTTTGTTTCTGCTCTCATACTACCTCTACCAAGCAGATGCAGAAACGACCTGATCTCGTCCTGCTGGGCTAGACCCTGGCCTTCTGCTCTTAGAAGTAGCGCTGTTTGGGGTGATGGTGGGTGAGGCTCAGCCCTCCTCAGCACCCCAGGGTCGCACGGGCACCAAGAGGATTTTTGCGTTCCAGCCTCCCAGGAAAGGTCCTGAGAAGAAAGCGGCAAGAGTGACAGTCACCAGGAAATGGTTGATGGTCTGATCTTCCGGTCCTGACACCCCAGCCAGCTCAGGAGCACCCTGGGCCAGGTGTTTCAGCAGGGCAATCATCTCTCTGTTCCCCCAGGTGCCTGGGCCCATTTCCATGGTCTGATACCTGCAATGGCTGCCCAGGGCTGTTCTGGAGACGATGTCCCAGCCGGCAGTTGCCATTCCCCCTCAGTGTCAAAGCCTTCACAGGTCCAGGAAGGTGGTCTCCACAACAATGCCCACCTGAAGCATGAACGCCTGTCATCAGACTCTGCATAGTACTCCGGGGGCTGCGGGATACTGAGATGGGTGAATCCTAGACCCTGACTCTGTGGTAAACGAAGCGAGGAAGGTACGCTGTTCACAAGGCTATAGGTCTTCAGTAAGCCTGAAGACAATCATACAAGCGAAATGCTTACAACAAATTAATGAAAAGCTCATTTCAAGCGCGCCCCTCTGCCCCCACTGTTATTGATCCGCTAAAACAGAATTTATAGGAAATTGTTTTCAAGCCACAGGAGAATTGTTTGTACAACTTGAAGGCTGTATTTATTTAATATACCTCAAAGTGTTTTAATAATCAGTGTTTTAATAAAAAGTATTTCTGACACTGGTGTCCCTGGGGCTCATTGGCTGAGTGGGGGGTTCTGCAGCACGTGGCCGGGAACTCACACTGGCCTCCCTCCTGTCTGTATCCGCACATCTCCCAACAGTAAGAGGGCAGGGCACAGGGGCTACCCTGCTGCTAGGACAGTTGAGGGCTTCTGGGAGTCAGCTCCATGCCCTCCCTTTGATTGAGATTTTTTAACAGGGAGTATTTTGTGGAGAAACCCTTACCCTCCTCATGCCTCGCTTGCTGTGGCCTTCCTCTCTGGAACCTGTTCCTCTCCCAACATTGCTAACACAGCCTGAATCACCCCCCAAGTGAGGAGCATTCTTACCTAGGTTCCCTGCCCCCAACCCTGCCGACTCTGAATTACAAACATGTACATGGGCCCTGCAGGCACACACCCCTTGGCTTTCCCTCTCATTTTTATTTTTTATTACCCACGCTGGGGGCCACGCTGGGCTAGCAGCTTTCTTGGGAAAGTGAAGCGCTGTCTTCTTCTCCATTCTCTAGCAGAGCCAGGGAAGGGGGAAGGAAGGAAGGAGAGTGTGTCCAGGCACACGCCCCCAGGCTGCCCACTTTGTCAGCAAGTTTCCGATTGCACACCGTTCTTTGGGCCTTCATCAGATACTCAGAATGCTCATGAGTTCTGAACTTACAGCCTTTAATTCACGGGGGCAGGGCAGGGAGCAGATATGCTCTTGTTGGCCTGACTTGCATCCCAGGCTGTGTCAGAAATCGTGGACTGAGGTGCAGGTCACTTAGATGTAGGGCTGACACAATTTTTCAAAAATTAGACTGAAAAACTAATACTTAAATTCCATTTTTCTACAATTGTTTTTGAAACCCCCTTGTAGTAAGGCCCAAGACAAAGGGCCCTACTTTCTCAGGGTTCCCAGGCTGGAACATCCCCGGAGGCGTCAGATCAAAGCCCGTTCCTCCCATTCCAGGAGGCACTGAAGTCACTGGCCACAGAGGAAGGCAGCTTAGGTATATGCATGCGCACTCACTCATCCTCATTCACGCCATGGCTCACATGCATGAACCTCTGGCAGAGGTGACTGAAGTTGCATCCCAGAGCTGTGAGTTCACGTTCAGTCTTCCAGCAGGGTGGATGGTGAACCTGGCACCATTGCATATACGTGCAGCTGCTCCGGGCAATGAGAGTCTGACCCATGCGCCGGAACCACCACCCTCCGCCGCCCTCATGGGGGGCTCACAGAGCAGCTGCTACCAGAAGGCCTCCTTGTAGAGAGCTGCCTGTACAAGCGTGGGGTCAGAGGCACGGAGGGCATCCTCCTCAGTGAACAAACCAACCACAGGGACAGCTCAGCATCAAACTTCATTCAGGTTTATTAGCGATATTAGCGAAGTCTTCCTAAAGTCAGCTGCATGCAACACACTCCTTGGCTACAGTAAATCCTACAGCTTTAGTTACTGCATGGTAAGGCTTCTTAAATCACAGTGTATTCTTCACGGCCTGGGCCAAAGAAAGGGACTCCAGAGAAAATGACAGCAGTTAACATTGACCTCTAATGAACCTAACTAGACTATGTGTTACGTGAACCACACACACACACTAATACTGTTGTTGGGGACGGCGCTCTGCCCGCCCGCCCACTGACACGGAACACTCGCTCCCCGGGGAATGGCAGCGGTTGGTGGTGGTCTCCGTGTTGGAGTGAGTTTTTGCAGGGCAGCGGAAGTGTGGATATCCATGTGCAGGTAGAGATTTTAGGTCCAGAGCACAGACAGCAGACTGTTCCTCGGGTCCCTGGGAGGAAGGACCGGCTGCCCCCACTGTGTGGTGGAGGGGGTATATAGGTAGGGACTTGAGTAGCGGTCATGGTCATAGGTTCTCTGGAGGAAACTCTTTAGTCTAAAGGACAATTTGTCAGAATTAAAGTCAAAAACAGTGGCCCTTGGTGTTTAACTCGGAACACCTTTCTTGTTAAATAATGACAACCAGTCACATGTTCCCAAACTTTAATCACAAGTCACCCTGTGGGCTGTGCTGTCTACGCTCAAGGGAAGTGGCAGGCTCTGTCTATTTGGGACCAGTAGGGAACTGGAGGGTCAGTCCCAGCTTCCCCTGCAGCCCCTTGTCCTCACTTCCATCTGTGGGACACTCAAATCCACTACGGCTTCAAGGAAAAAAGATACACAGTGGACACCACAGAGTGGACACAACACCCTCGTCAGTTTCTATGAGCAAACAGTTCAGAATGTGGCAAGATTCTTGAACGTACTACAAAGGTTTTGTTTCAGTGATTTCTCCTTTGATAGAGATGTCCCCTCATTTTTGGGAAGAACAAAAAAGATGTATGTGGGGGCACACCTCCAGGGCAGCCTGAGTCCTTGCAGGCTGTGGGCGGGTCAGACGGACTTCTTGGCCTCTTGCTACAGACAGCTGCCCGGCTGTGGCGCTCCTTCGGGGCTGTGGCCTAGATGTAGAGAGGGGTCTCCTGACCTGTGAGGAGCCGGAACATGGCTGCCGGCATCGTCTTCATGTGGATCTGTCAGGGCGGAGAGTGGGCTGAGCACAGGGCCATCGTGAACCTCCCTACCCTCCTGCAGCTAGCCTCATGGGAAAATCCAGAGTCCTTCGGAGTCAGAGCAAGTGACTCATTCATGTGCTCCGCTGAGAGTTTGGGTTCCTGGGCTACCCAGACCCTTCCCAGTGTCTGAGTGGTACCACTGCTCTGGAAGGGTACAAGGCACCCCATCCAAATGACCTCCCACTATCTCTGATGGAACCGTGTAACTCCTCAACTAGCCCAAAGGAGAAACGCTCCAGTCCCCATCAAAACTCCAGAGGGAAGAAGAAAGGGAGAAAAGCAGCTTCACTTCTCCCTCTGTTTCTGCCTGTTCCCCCTAGGGCCCCTGGGTCCCTGCTCCAACTCCCATGAAGGGCCCTCCTTCTATCCTCACAGTTCCTTCCCCTCTGCCCCAAGACCTTTTTTCAAACGCACAGCGTACCCATTGCTTCCCTGCCTAAAACTGCCAACTCTTCCCAAGGCCTCAGAGTAAGCACCAGTTCCTCACTGAGGCATTCTGAACAGTCTTATCTGGCAGCCTTCTGGGGTCCCCAGGTCTGACCTCGCTGGCCCCTCTGCCCACTCCAGTGGGGCTGTCTTGCTCCACCTGGAACTCTGGCCTGCCTCTGTTTCCCTGACAGCTCAGCTTCAATGGTACCCACACTCCCTCCTAGTCTCAAATCTCCCCTCTGTCTTCTCACCATCTCCTCCTTGTTTGTTCCTTATGATGCACCAACTTTGCCCCAAATAGAAATTCAGCTGCAGCTTCATGCCGAGAGACCAGGTTCCCTTAGAGAACTCGCTTAATTTTCCATTGCCCATAAAGACTTCTACAGCCAGCCCCCAAGCGTATACAGAGAGAGCCCTCCACAAGACAAAGCTAGGCCGAATCTGCCGGACCAGCTTAGGCTAGGCCTATAGCCCCTGGGCTTTCTCTACCGTGTTCCCATCACTCTCCAGCCTTCTAGGGCAATAGTGGACCTCTTCCAAAAGCATCCAGCCCCGGCCCCTGACAGCTGGGGTGGGTCTTTCCCTGCAAAAGTCCAGCTGGCCCACGAGCTGCTGGAAGGTACAGCTGGTCAGTCTGTCCTTCCTCGGGCAAACAGGCTTTGGGCAGATCTGACCAGCCCGGACACGGAGCAAACCAAAATGTCCAACAGGCACAGATGCACTTTTGTATTTGTCCTGTCACCGTGAGTCCTACCTCCCACCCCACACTCCAGCCCCAGGAGACCTGTGATCAGCTCAGTTTAGACATTAGCGCTTCCATCACCCCTAGAATGCCTTTTTCTCTTAGAAAAGTCTCTGTAGTTCCTCAACCTGAAACACAACACCCCAGCCAAGACTCCTCAAAGCTACAGGTCTTGTTTATCAGTGAGTTTAGGAGGCCTGGCCAAGGGAGAGGCCTGCTACACGTAGCCTGGCTGCTTTTGCACATCTTTGAACGTCAATTCATCTCCGGCTCCTAAGACAGGGAAACATTTTCTTTGTTCCCAGCTGACTGCACTCAGTTGGATTCTTCAACTGTGTATAGCTGATCACCCCATTTCCACTTTAAGAAAACTGGGTTCTCCTTTCTTAGAAGCCATTTAAGAGGCTACAGGTGTCCACCCAGCCCCCTTCCTCCTCCTGGCCGCCACAATCCAGAGAGCCCTGGGGGCTTCACAAAGCATGGAGCAGGTTTTCAGAGTCTCCACAATTAGGGTCTAAATGGCCAAGCCAGACCCTCACCCACTCCACAGACTGCAGTCAGAATCCATCCCGTCTTCCCTCATCTGCATCCACCAGAGAAGTGCTCACAGCCACTGGTCTACTAAAACTACACCCTGCTCCCCACATCCTCAGAATCACCCCAAACAAGCCACCTAGCATCGATGCTTTTCACACAGCCCCCTCCCAAGCCCCCCCTTGCAGCCTCGCCTTCTGCACTGTTACCAACACCTCTCGCAGGGAGACAAATAACACATCCGTGTTGCCAACTTCCTTCACAACTCTACACACACTTCTGCTCACATGTACACATCATACAGATAGCCACACATTCATATGGCCATACTCATACACAGACACATATATACACACACACACATCTACACACATATACATGAATATACACACATCAGTCACACATGCGCTCACCCACACATTCGTACTGCCACTCTCCCTAACACACAGACACGTCTCCACACACATTCACCCCCTGTCACATGTACACAGACACACCATCATTCCCACGAATACCCATACCTACACTCTCCCTCTCCTACATGCACACCCATACACTCACAAGACACACATACTCCCTCTAGTGCTGAGTGAGGCGGCCTTCCGATGTCCTGTGGCTTTGCCCGCTGGTCCCTTGTTTTTCACCCTGAATTCATGTTGTTTACTTGTGGGCTCCCTAATCAACACTGTGCCCCCCACCCCTACCCTGTACCTTCCTTGTCCATCCTCATGCTGGCCCTAGGCTGACAGCAAAGAGCAGAAGGGGAAGTTCTAAGTAAGGAAGGCAGGAAAGGGCCAAGCAGGCACAGCAGAGCCCAGTCTTCCATGAACCAGGGTCCATAGGCAGTCAGCACTGTGGACACTTGGGTCCCGTATGCAGGTCAGAACAATGGAGATTTGGGTCCCATATGCAGATCAGTACAGTGGAGAATTGGGTCCCATATGCAGATCAGTACAATGGAGAATTGGGTCCCATATGCAGATCAGTACAATGGAGAGTTGGGTCCCATATGCAGATCAGTACAATGGAGAGTTGGGTCCCATATGCAGGTCAGAACTATGGAGGGTTGTGGCCCCACGCTGAGCATGCCCGAGTCAGTTTCAGAAACATCTGATGACGAGGCTCTGTCTGGCTGCCTTTGTCCTCCTCTCTGCTGAGAAGTCTGGCCACACAGTTACATACAGAAGTAGAACCAACAAGCTAAGTGCAACCTGCCAATCTGCTCATCCGGTCTTGGGCATTCCCTGGTGGGGACGCTGCCTGGCCAGCTCTATTGCTCCCCAGTCCCCTCAGAAGGGCAGACTTTCTCCAGACTGATGACTTTCCTGAGCACACCACACACCCCTGATATGGGCCCAGATGGCCCTGGAGACTCAGACCTTGGTCCCAAGAAAGGAAACGGGCGTTCTTACCTCTCCCACGGAGTTGGACAAAGCTTGGACTATCTTCTCATGGGCTGTGGCCACAACGCTCTGCCCATTGATCTCGATGATGCGGTGGCCAACGCGTACGCCACCTCGCTCGGCGATGCCTCCTCTCATGAGGCTGCATATCTAATGAGAAACAACAGGTTAGCACACACGTACCTGCCCCACAAACCAGACACTCAGATACAACCCCAAAGATGGGAGGAGATAAATTAATCCTACAATGGAAAAACTCTTCCATGACAAAAAACAATCACAAAAGTGAAGGCCATGGTATGTGGGAGAAGTCTCTGGACCCTCAGAACCCTACAACCAACAGCCATAGTGCCATCTGCCGCCCCACCCCACCCCCAGGAGCTGGGGTCCCTCCAGAGCCTTGGTCCCGTCATTGCCATAGAGTGTGCAATGTTAGTAAAGGGACAATTAACGCACTCAAGAGGGCATAGGGTCAGAAGCACATATTTTAGAAGATGCTCTGGGGGTTGCATTCTACAGCTCTTTAAAGCAAAGCCAATGACCATCCCCACTTCACAAGGGACAATGGTGAAGTGATGATTGAACCATGTGACAAACACAAGATTGAGAAAATGATGCCTGAGCACCTGTGGTTGGTTCCACGCACTTGTGAGAGTCACAAACTGTCAAGACATTAGCCAAGGTAAGCTTCATCGTAGACACTAATGAAAGGGACAGACTCCAGGGGCCAGGAGCTGTTTGCTTATGAAGAGCAGGTGGGGTATGGCTTGGTGGAGGCAGGGACAGCCTCTTGTGGGGGCTCCCTGGAAGCAGCAGTGGACCTTGAAGAACCTCCAAAAGGAGTAGGAACATCACAATACACATTCTTTTCCAGTGCACATGGAACATTCTCCAGAATAGACCGTGTGTTAGGCACAAAGCAAACCTCCGTAAATTTATAAATATCAAAATACTACAAAGCATTTTCTCAGACCACAATGCTTTAAAATTAGAAATCAACACTAGGAAGCCCAAGGAAATCAAGCCAAATACATGGAAACGGAATAATACCCCACTGAAAAGCTACAGGGTAGTAGAAGAAATAAAACATGAATTCACAAAGTTCCTAGAAACAAATGAGGATGAAAACACAACATACCAAAATCTCTGGGACACGGCCAAAGTGGTGCTGAGAGGACAATTTATTGCAATAAATGCACACATCCAAAAAGAAGAAAGCACCTAAACCAACACATTAACAAAAGGAGTAGGGAAGAAAGCACCATGGTGGGGATTTACTTGAGAGGGCCAGCGAAAAGAATGTGTGAGGAAGACTTAGACCTCCAAGTAACTACCCCCCTCCATGTCACCAGGCCTGCAGCCATCCTGACCGGAGACAGAGTCTAGTCTGTAGAGGAATGGGAGGCGAGGCTCTATGTGGAAGATGGCCCAGCACCATAGAATGAAGAGATGGCATGATGAATGGAAACCACCTAGGGGATGTAGTGAACGTTTTCATTCTGAACTTGCATTCAAATTCAGTGACTTTTCTCTAAGCCCATCACCTGAGTAGCATTACTATCCCCAGGCTCCCAGACAGGTATGACAAAGGGTCTTTGGCGAAGCTTACTTGCCCAAGACAAGAAACAGCTGGGTTCCCCTTCACACTGAAACTCAAAGGGAACGCACAAGCAATCTTACACGCTTGCTGGTGATCACTCTGGTCTACTTGTGAGTGGAAGTGGGGAAATGCAGCAATAAAGACCTGGGCTGAGTTTCACCATGATCCACTGACATCTATTGACTGACATCTCACCTTAAGATGAGACAGAGAAGAGGAAGTGTTGGCCAGTCTGAAGTTAAGGGAGACGTGTGAATTCCCGAGTCCATGGATACTGACCTAGCCACTGGGGGCTAGAGTTGAGAGTGAAGTGGTCAGTTGGTCTGGAGTGGAAAGTCCCAAACTTCCAGACAGTACTCATTTGACCTAGCTTGGATGACTAGCCGACCAGAACTCAACCAGATGATGATAAAGACATTTGATACAGGGGGGCAAGCATAAATTGCAACAATTTGATGAACTGGACCTTTGCGTATGGATGTTACTCAAAATTCCAACCAAAAGGGAAGGACTCTTCCTATCAAGGATCAAGCTTGTCTTCTCAATACACTGGGTTAACAGGGACAGGCAACTAAGACATTGGCTATCAAAAATGGGGGGTGTAAAGGCACGAAGTGGCTGGCTTTGCAAGCTTTCATGAATGTTCTTAGTTTCAGAACAAGGGGTAAGGTAGAATCCCCACTGAATAGTTTCCCCCTTGTCCAGATGGGTCTGGTGAAAGGGAATGGGGAGGATGGGGATAGGATTTTATGAATCCAACTCTGAGTAACTGTTATCATGACTAATCGCAATTGCCACAACTGTAAATGCAGAAGATGTGAAACTAAAAAGGGGGGTGGCATAGTTAATCTTTCATTCCAGGAACAGAGGACCCTAGGACCATCAAGAGGGAAGAGCATGAGTGGAACATAGGATCCTAATCAGAAAAACGGTGACAGCAGAGACGAAGGCAGAGGCGATGGCATGGAGAGATAGAGCAGCTGAGGACTCTGGGCCCATGGACTGAGACAGGCAGTGTGCCTGCAGGCAGGAGGCTGGCTTACAAAATGTGCCCTTTGGACGTTTAAATGAATATATATTTTCTGTGTGGCATGTGCCCATCAAAATAAATAAAAGGGAAGGGATAACGTCAATACTGTTATCTGATGGTGCATGGAAGGGATTATAATCATTACAATGAAGCAAAATATTGATTTGTTGAATGTAAAACTGATGATCCAGCCTGTAAACTTTCACTCAATTCACAATAAAAGCTTAAAATTTTTTCTCAATTAAGAAAGAAAAAATGAAATGGTTGGGTTTTTATCTGATCTGCTATAGCAAAACTAAACAGCTGCCAAGTTTTTGCTATGCACACAATGAACAATTACACCATGTGACTCAGCACAGAAATGCAAACTGAAGCCTGTACACCTATATTCTTTGCAGCACTTTTCACAATAGTGAAAAGAAAAAAACTAAAATGTCCAAAAACAGATGAATAGAGAAAGAAAATGTAAATACAGACAATGGAATACAATTCAGCCATATGGTAAATGAAGATCTGATGCAGACCACAGCATAGGTGAACCTTAGAAACATCATGCTGAGTGAAACCAGTCTGTATGATCTCACTTATATGATATAAGCAAGTCTCTAGAAATCAATGTTTTTTAAGCGGTTACCAGGGAAATAAATGAGGGGTAAGAGGAAGCTTTTGCTTGGGGGTGGGGGTGGAGGGAGGAGGCAATGAGTTGATGTTAATGGTGGTAGAATAATTTGGGAAAGGTTAGCAAGAACAACTCCATGTAGAAATATGAGCTTGTTTTGTAGCATATAATTTCACCATGTTAAAAAACCAGAATGGACAATCAAGGACCACCCAACATTCTGAGCAAAACCTTTCGCAAGAAAAAGTAGTGAGCGAAGCAAGCAATTAAGCAGATAGAAAAGGTCATACACAGAAGACACTGAAACATGGGCACAACCGTCAGTCAATCAATCAATCAATCAACCACTCAATCAATCGATGGTCTTAGAAAGAAAAGCAACAGTACTGCATTTATAAAACTAGAACATAATTTTCCAAGAGTAAGGAGGAGTTCCTGAGTATTAAATCAGCAGTCAAAGAAAAATTCAACAGAGAATATGAAATTCTCAAATCATCAAACCATTATGATTTGAAGGTCATGAATTTCCAGATTGAAAGTTCTGACCTCAATGAATAACTAAAGACATGTGTCAAAGCATATCCCCATGACATTTCCTGACCCTGGGGACAACGGGAAGAGCCTACGAGTCTCCATTTAGTATAAATGAATTACATACAATTAATGACGAATCAAAGTGTAGCCATCTCTTAACAACAGAACTAAAAGTCAGAAGACAAAGGATACAACTTTAAAAGTCCTAATTGAAAATTATTTCCTGTCTTGGTTATCAAGTTCTGCTAAAACATAAATACCATAAATGGATGGTTTTAACATAAATTTATTTTCTAATAGTTTTTGTCTGTTACTATATGCTGTCAAGTCGGTTTTGACTCACAGCGACCCTGTATAGGGTTTCCAAGGAGTGGTTGGCAGGTTTGAACTGCAGACCTTGTGATCCATTTGCGTATCTTATAGAGCCACGGCCAAATTTTTTTCTCTTTGAGTTTCTGCTTCTGGGAAATCTTAGATCTCTCTTTCCTCATCACTGTTTCATTAAACGTGTTTCATCTCTTTTAGACATCAAAAGAGACAGACTTAAGATATATCCTGCACTCATCTGACCTCAGTAACATAACTAAGATGGTCCATTTCTAAATGGGATTATAAACACAGTCATAGAGGTTAGGATTTATAACACATAGATTTGGAGATGCAATTCAACCCAGAACATTTCCATCTTAGAATTTTATACCCAACCAACTGATCATTTAATTCTAGAAGGGTAGAAAAAAGAGATTTTTCCAATAGGCAAAGGCTCAGGAAGTATATCTCCTTTTATGTTCTTTCCCAAGAAGTACTGAAGAAATTGTCCCACCCAAATGAGGGCATAAAACCATGAAAGACCTGGGAACCCCAGACCCAGGGCATCTAACTTAGAAAAATGGTAAAGGGAATTCCCTGAGGGCATTAAAGAGAAATCAGATGAGGAGCCCTACAGAAGGACTCATGAGAAGGACCCAGCCCAGAATGGAGCAGAAAAATGGGGGATTTCATCAGGTAAATCTCCAAGAGAAAACACAAGCAAGGTTTATTCACTGAGGAATTTGAAAGTCACACTGGTGAGTGTGGTGGTGGTTATGTGCCGTGGAGTCGGTTCCGACTCACAATGGTGGTGGTGGTGCTTATGAACCCGACTCATAGAAGAGGCACATTAATGACGGGTGCACAGAGGAATTCATTTCGAGATAAATTAATAGGTGCACAGAAGGATTAATTTAAAGATTAATAGGTGCAGAGCAGCTACTGTTACCCTAACAGACATTATACAAGTCACCTAGGATTTAGGAGATGGAAGAAATAGAATATTCTATGAGCACGGCCTCTGCAGGAAGGAATGGGAATAGTGACTAGTGAAGAAT